ACTTTTGGTAGTTTAACACAAACATGGAAGGTAAATCCACGTGGGATTTAACTCCATTCATGCCAGCTCTCTGCTGTCTTTTTTAATAACCAATGACCAAGGTGTAATCCAACTTAGGATAGACCACCATTACCATGTGCCTCCAGCTCTTTAGTCTTGTGAGGACCAGTATCAAAGTCCTTGTTGGCGTCTAGTTAAAGAATGTCACAATCCTTCCTACTACCACCTTCTTGAAATTTACAGGAAAAGAATGATAGAAAAGGTCTTAAACATGAGCGGCTCTTAGTGAAACCATGTCGTTAATTCTTTATCAATCTGTTGTTCAAGGTGAAAACGAATGGCTTTGGCAATTATCAATTAAATCCATTTGCAGTTGTTGGCACCACATCAGCAACCATCCATCACTCCGGTACTCTGCTCGAGTCTAATGATTAATTAAATATGGTAGACAATGAGTCTGGCTCTGGGGACTAGTTTACCTTTAGTTTGCATATATATTTAATAACCTCCTCGCTAGTAACTAGACCAGTTAAGTACTAAACCTACTAAGCTAGTTAACCACTAAACTAGTTAACTTGTCGTCTCGACCTTCGAAGACTTTTTCTTCTGAGTGCGTAATTGAGTTTCTTTAGGAAATACAGAGACGAAGAATTTATTTGAAATAAGTCACATTTCTTTTTCATTCTCAGTTACTTGACCTGCTTCAGATATAATTTGTGTAGTCTTTTCCTTAATCTGTCTTTAATATATCAGAAAAAAATGTTTTAGAAATTGTCATTGCCTGGTCTGCTATATATAATTCATTATTTCTTGATGCTTTTATTATTTCCTTAACATTTCTAACTAGTTTGGGATATTGTTGTTCAAGATTAACTTCCCCATTCTTAGGCCTTTGATCAAAGTTTTTTCCTACCGATAAGGTTTTTAATCACATGATTATCCATTTAAGGTTATTGTTGTTTGACCTAAGATATCTAGATGGCACACTATATTTTTAACCTTTATTAAGCATATTTTAAAATAAATTACAGTTTGAATATGTTTAACAATTTTTTTAATTTCCTTTTGTTATATCCTTTCACCCATGTTAATACTTCAGTCATGTTGACATTTACTCTCATCTTTCACCCATGTTAATACTTCAGTCATGTTGACATTTACTCTCACCTTTCACCCATGTTAATACTTCAGTCATGTTGACATTTACTCTCACCTTTCACCCATGTTAATACTTCAGTCATGTTGACATTTACTCTCATCTTTCACCCATGTTAATACTTCAGTCATGTTGACATTTACTCTCATCTTTCACCCATGTTAATACTTCAGTCATGTTGACATTTACTCTCACCTTTCACCCATGTTAATACTTCAGTCATGTTGACATTTACTCTCACCTTTCACCCATGTTAATACTTCAGTCATGTTGACATTTACTCTCACCTTTCACCCATGTTAATACTTCAGTCATGTTGACATTTACTCTCACCTTTCACCCATGTTAATACTTCAGTAATGTTGACATTTACTCTCATCTTTCACCCATGTTAATACTTCAGTAATGTTGACCTTTACTCATCAACTTTCTAGATAATATACATTAAAATATTTCAACTTCTCGACCTTGCTTCATAGTCTTCCCTGCTTGGCGCCTTGATCTGATTCTGGCAAGGAGTCCAATAGGGTGTTTAAGATCGGGAAGAGAAAGCTGGACACTCGGGAGGAGATAAATGGAACAAACGGTGTACCATTTCCTCGCAAAGATACGAGCAGCAGAACAATGGAGAGGCGAATAAAAAAGGGGACAAATGGAACATCAGAGTGAATCAAGAGAGCAGAAGAGCTGGGAGCCCCAGCAACAGCTGAGGGGGGAGGGAGAGAAAGGAATAGCCACGAAAGCGACCAGGACGAGCACCAAGCATCGATTCCGGGAGACAGACACAAACGGGCAAAAATCGTGCAAGCAGAAGTTGGAGTTCAAGAAAATTGGCGTAATAACCACGAATGTTCCATTGAAGAATAGACATCGACAAGAAGAGAAAGGACAGCAACACAGAACAATGGAAAAACAAAGGTTAAAAAGAAACACAGCACGTCATAGAAGCGCAGGATCAGGGTCAGCGAAGTCAGAGTTAGGGGGCATGGGTAAACTGAGTACGAATGGAGGGAAGAGAGTGGGAGGACAGACCAGAGGCGGACCTGCAGCCACACTTGGGAAGAGGAGACAACCGAGGGTCAAGGACAGCAGGAGGAGGAGGAGGGGGCAGAAACCGGGGAGCACATCTCAGCAAGGGCAGAAACAGAAAGGGAAGCAGGAGACAAAGAAACCTCGATATCAGGAACAGGGGGCTCGACCACCGAAACGGGAGGGAATGGAGTGATAGAGTCAGAGGTGGAGCGCGAGGAAGAAAGCGAAGCCGTCTTACCCGCCGGGGAGGAGGAAGGAGATAAGCCAGACTTTCGCTTCTAACTCAGAGACATTTGTTCCAGCAACAACGAACTAGGCAACAGACTCAAGCATCTCAACAGGAGAAGAAGGAGGAGAGCGAACAACACGATGATCACTGGAAGAGTGATGGACATCAGCCTGCACAGACAGGCGGCGTGGAGAGCTAAGAGACGGAGAAGAAAGACGGGAAGGAGGATCGAGGGGAGATGAGAAAGAAGACACAGGAGATATGACAGACAGGGTAGAAAGAAGGGGAACCCCAGACAGAGAATTAGGAGGGGGACCCTTCTCGACAGAACGTAAAGGAACTGGAGAGGCGGCGGTGGGCGTGTCTGGGTCTAAGGCCTGGAAACGGTTGTGAGACTGAAGAAGGTGGGAAGGACGAGGAGATGAAGAGTGCAACATTGCGAGCATAAGAGACGCTAGCGAAAGGGGGGAGACAGCGAACTTGGCCCCTCGCCTCAGGAAAAGAAACGTTCCCGGTGCTTCAAGTTGAGGACGTCTGCATCAAGCTTGTAATGTTTACACGCGTAGGAGAAGGTAGGGTGGGCTTCACCGCAATTAAGGCAGCGAGCCTGGGAAGAAGTACACTCCGACTTAGAGTGACCTTCGTCCCCACACAGGGGACAGTGAGACAGTACAGAAGCATTGAAGGGCACCATGCTCAAACTTCCAGCACCTATTACAGAGTCTTCGTGGCAGTCTTTTAGATTCCTAACACTGGTCGCAACACGGTGTGGAAGGAGAATAGTGCCAACACTAGCATTTAACCAAGAGTTCTTGGAGACCCGAACAGGGGTCTCGCCAAGCGGGTAACGCATCCTGAATAGGAGCAGCAACGACACGTGAACTGAGACGGGTGGGGTTGAAAGTAACAGAGGCATCCACGGAATAAACAAGGTGCCTATGGAGGGAAAAATCATCAGGAGGAGTAGAATCTAAATGATTGGAGGTCAAAGTACTTAGTCCATGTAGGTTGACCAAACAAGGCGTGGTACAAATTAGTATGGGAAGGGATCGGGTAAGTGCGGCCACGGCGGGAACTGCGTTGAGAACCCCCAGAGAGAGAGAGAGAAGGGGGGGGGGGGTTTAAAAGGTGCAATAGTTACAATGAGAGACGTAGCTCGGCCAGAGGATGAGGTGGTCACCGCTCGGGGCCTAGGGCTCAACCCAACTACAGAGGAGGGAGGGGGAGCCGAGGGGAGTAGTCAGGAGGGTCCGAGGAGGAGCTAGGTCTGGGCCTAATATAGCAGGGGCTACAGAGCCCAGTCTTCCAACACAGGCCGACTCATGGGCCTGGTCGCCCACCCAAGGAGCCTGAGAAGTCATAAGAACCGGAATCATCGGCATGGAAACAAGAGGGAAGACTTTCATTCACGATTGTGTCCTCACACCCACCACGGATCCACAGTTAGAAGAAGGACACCCGACAAGAGACATGTTGCCGGTCTTGCCGGGGCCCCCTACGGGTCCGTCGTGAGTATACGCCCCACAAACACAACCTTAAGAACTGTCAGTCTGTCGAGATCGGGTTCAGTGACGAAAGAAGGATTGACAATAAAAGCTTCCCCTCGCTCGCGACGTCAGGCTCCACAGTTCTACGGGTGAGAGAGTATGCCACCTCAAACACCCGGGCGTCAAAACCAAAGAAAGCCGAAAGGATAGTCAAGAGAGGCAAAAGGTCGGCGGGAAATGACAATAAGAAAGGATAAGATGGGGGAGAAAAATGAAACACAAGGAAAAGGAAAAGTCATCCAGCATAATTCGGAAGGACAGCTGCAGGAGCATAAGGCTACAAAAGGACAGAGGACTGTCCCATGGAGAATCACACTCCGGCAGCCGCCCACCAAGTCCCCTCACGGCAACAATGGGTCAGACAGGGAGGGGGAGGGTGAAATGAAGTGCTCTTGGTGGGACATGTAGGCATCATATCGTTTTGTAATATTTCACTTTTAATTTGCTCATTTCTCATTTACTTAATCTTTTACTATTATATACTTCTGTTATTTAAATCTGTCACTTATTATGAATAATTAAATAAATTAATTATTTTCACCATTTTGATCCTCAAATTTTTTGAGGATCAAAAGGGGGATCAGTGGAACTTACCTGATACTTTTGTTACTAATAATTCTGCCACGTGGAAATGTGTTTTATGTCTTTGTATAACTTATGTGTTCTGGAATGTGTTCAATTGTATATTTACTTCTTGTGCTTGGCTGTTTTAAGTTGTATTTATTTGTTGTGGATGTTTTTCTGGCTTGTATTTATGGAGTAATTTATACAATAATAATTGATGAGACTTATATTTAGCCATTATATTAATTCCTTAATTGTTGTATTTTTATTTCTTATTCAGTTGTCTTTATTTAAAATTTTACAACAAAATTAATTTAAATAGACAAAGCTTATTGTCAATTATTTAAACATTTGATTTCTCAATTTCTTGTTCTTGTTACTGATTATTGTAATTTTGACTCTGGTAACAATACAGTATATTGTAAATATTAACTTGTTTAATTATATAACATTTTGGTGTATACATTTGCAGTATGGAGTGGAGTCATCACCGGAGTGAAGCTCCTCCACAAGTGTCACACGTGGAAGAGTTGACTATTGTCCAGGTGGTGACCCGTGACCAGCACCAGGGACCAGGTGATGACCCGTGACCAGCACCAGGGACCAGGTGATGACCCGTGACCAGCCCAAGGGACCAGGTGGTGACCCATGACCAGCCCCAGGGACCAGGTGGTGACCCGTGACCAGCCCCAGGGACCAGGTGGTGACCCGTGACCAGCCCCAGGGACCGGGTGGTGACCCGTGACCAGCCCCAGGGACCAGGTGGTGACCTGTGACCAGCCCCAGGGACCAGATGGTGACCTGTGACCAGCCCCAGGGACCAGGTGGTGACCCGTGACCAGCACCAGGGACCAGGTGGTGACCCGTGACCAGCCCCACGGACCAGGTGGTGACCCGTGACGAACACCAGGGACCAGGTGGTGACCCATGACCATCACCAGGGACCAGCCCCAGGGACCAGGTGGTGGCCCATGACCAGCCCCAGGAACCAGGTGGTGACCCGTGACCAGCCTCAGGGACCAGGTGGTGACCAGCACTAGGCACTAGGTGGTGACCCGTGACCAGCCCCACGGACCAGGTGGTGACCCATGACCATCACCAGGGACCAGGTGGTGACCTGTGACCAGCCCCAAGGACCAGGTGGTGACCCGTGGCCAGCCCCAAGGACCAGGTGGTGACCAGCCCCAGGGACCACGTGGTAACCCGTGACCAGCCCCAGCAACCAGGTGGTGACCTGTGACCAGCCCCAGAAACCAGGTCGTGACCTGTGACCAGCCCCAGGGACCAGGTGGTGACCCGTGACTAGCACCAGGGACCAGGTGGTGACCCGTGACCAGCACCAGGGACCAGGTGGTGACCCGTGACCAGCACCAGGGACCAGTTGGTGACCCGTGACCAGCACCAGGGACCAGTTGGTGACCCGTGACCAGCACCAGGGACCAGGTGGTGACCCGTGACCAGCACCAGGGACCAGGTGGTGACCCGTGACCAGCCCCAGGGACCAGGTGGTGAACTGTGACCAGCCCCAGGGACCAGGTGGTGACCAGCCCAGGGACCAGTTGGTGACCCGTGACCAGCCCCAGGGACCAGGTGGTGACCCGTGACCAGCACCAGGGACCAGGTGGTGACCCGTGACCAGCACCAGGGACCAGGTGGTGACCCGTGACCAGCACCAGGGACCAGGTGGTGACCCGTGACCAGCACCAGGGACCAGGTGGTGACCCGTGACCAGCACCAGGGACCAGGTGGTGACCCGTGACCAGCACCAGGGACCAGGTGGTGACCCGTGACCAGCACCAGGGACCAGGTGGTGACCCGTGACCAGCCCCAGGGACCAGGTGGTGACCCGTGACCAGCACCAGGGACCAGGTGGTGACCCGTGACCAGCCCCAGGGACCAGGTGGTGACCCGTGACCAGCCCCAGGGACCAGGTGGTGACCACCAGCCCCAGGGACCAGGTGGTGACCCGTGACCAGCACCAGGGACCAGGTGGTGACCCGTGACCAGCCCCAGGGACCAGGTGGTGACCCGTGACCAGCCCCAGGGACCAGGTGGTGACCCGTGACCAGCACCAGGGACCAGGTGGTGACCCGTGACCAGCACCAGGGACCAGGTGGTGACCCGTGACCAGCCCCAGGGACCAGGTGGTGACCCGTGACCAGCCCCAGGGACCAGGTGGTGACCCGTGACCAGCCCCAGGGACTAGTGATTGTAATGTTAAACAATAAACTCAATACAATACGTTTTTCCACTCTTGGAGGAAATATTTGATGTGTTGAGGGTAACACTTGATAAAAATTCATCTCAGTATCCTAGATGCCTTATTCGTATGTTTATGCATTGATTATTTTCTTATGATCCCGGAGATGCTGACTCCTAGATATTTCTCCAATAAATACTTCAAATTTTCAATATTGTCCATGTGATATATGGGAACTAGTATCATTATTACTTAGCTCAAATCCAACCTTTTACAGCATTACACTGCATCTACTTATCTTTTGTCCACGTGGAAAGTCTGTACAGATTGTCTGTTAGCACTTTTGGGAATTTAACTCTCACATGGGAGTTTAACTCCCACATGGGAATTAAATCCATGTCTGATTTAACTGCATTCTTGGCAACACTCTGCTGTCTTTTTCAATAACCAAGGTCTGATCCAACCTGATAGGTCTAATAGGATAAACCCCGATTACCATGTGCCTCCAGCTCTTTAGTCTTGTGAGGCGCAGCATCAAAGTCCTTGCTGACGTCAAGTTGTAGAATGTCACAATCCTTCCAACTATCACCTTCTTGAAATGTACAGAAAAAAGAATGATAGAAAATTTCTTAAACATGAGCGGCCCTTAATGAAACCATGTTGTGATTTCTTTATGAATCTGTTTTTCAAGATGAAAACGAATGGCTTTTTCAATTATCAATTAAATCCATTTCCAGCAATTGGCACCACATCAGCAACCATCCATCACTCCGGTACTCTGATCGAGTCTAATGATTTATTAAATATGGTAGACAATGGGTCACTAAGCTTTACTTTACAAAACCTAAGCACCCTGGATAATGTTTTGTCTGGCTCTGGGGACTAGTTTGCCTTTAGTTTGCATATTTGTTTAATAACTTCCTCGCAAGTAACTACTAAACTAGTTAACTCAGTCCTCTCGACCTTCAAAGATTTTTTCTGCTGAACGCATAGTTGAGTTTCTTTAGTAAATACAGACGAAGATTTTATTTGGAATACGTCACGTTTCTTTTCTTTATCAGTTACCTGACCTGCCTCAGATATAATTTGTGCCGTCTTTTCCTAAATCTTTAATATATCAGAACAAAAAGTTTTAGAAATGGTCATTGCCTGGTCTTCTATACACACTTCATAATTTGTTAATGCTCTCCTTATTTCTTTAACAATTCTAACTAGTTGGGGATTTTGTTGTTCAAGAATAACTTCCCCATTCTCAGGCCTTTGATAAAAGTTTTTGACCTACCGATAAGGTTTTTAATCCCATGATTATCCATTTGCGGTCATTATTATTTGACCTAACCACCCTAGATGGTAAACTATATTTTTAACCTTTACTAAGCATATTTTAAATATATTACAGTTTGGATATGTTTAACAGTTTTTAATTTCCTTTTGTTATAACCTTTCGCCCATGTTACCACTTCAGACACGTTGCCCTTTACTCTTCACCTTTCTAGATAACATACATTGAGATATTTTAACTTCTCGACGGTGCTTCATAGTCTTCCCAGCTTGGCACCTTGTTCTGATAATTACTGACATCTTAAGCTCTCGCCATATGTTAGGTCTTCAGTTCTTGGGAGCAACTGTCGTTCTTCGCTGCACTCGTTCAAGTAACTTATGTCCATTCTACGGTATGGCGACCATATTTGAAATGCATAATCTAAATGGAGCATAACAAGAAAAACAAAATGATGCAGAACAATACATCTTTTTTGATGTCTTGGGCCTATAAACCTCTACTGATTATTGAGGCTACATAAGTGCTCGCTGACCAAACAGCGAGTATACTTTAAGCCATAACTGTATATAATGTTTTTTGTTTTGTTTTGATGTCCAAAGGGCTTGAACAGGATGTGAGAGGAAGAAGGATGGGGCGGTGAAATTCTTGGAAGAGGATCTGGATGTGGAGAGAGGAGGCTTGACAAATCGGTGGCCTGTCCACTGCTGGTTGGCATATGTTTTTGTTCTTGGCTTGTGATCTTCTTAAGAGGCAGGAGGCAAGTGCTGAGGCAGTTAAGTAAGTAATTATCAAAAGAAGGCACCAAACCGGGAAGGCTATGTAGCACCATCAAAGTGCGAAATAATCAGATGGTGCTAAATATCACCAAGAATGCCAATATCACCAAGAATGCCAAGGAGGAATGAATAAATGGATAAAAGTCGGAATAATTAATAACTTTACGGGAGATGGGACAAGAACAGATAGCTTCTCTAGCGGCAACATCCATACGCTCATTTAAAGAAACACCAATATGGCTGGGAACCCAGCAAGACTCTATTGATTTAAATTTACTAGAAATAAGAAACAGTCAATGTTGAATCTCGATGATCAACGGATGGACAGGATTAATTGACCCTAGAGCCATGAGGGCACTACGAGAGTCAACTACAACCACAAAGGAGGATTGACAATGAGAAAGCAAGAGACGGAGAGCAGAGAGAATAGCATAAAGTTCTTCTGTGAAGATGCTATTCTCCAAAGGGAGGCGACACACATAAGTACGGTCAGGAAAAACAACAGAGCAGCCCACACCGTTTGCAGACTTAGACCCATCGGTGATGATGGAAACAGAGTGGGAGTGTGAAGAAAAGTGCTGAAGGAAAAGGCGTTTCAGAACCATAGGAGGGGTAAAAGCTTTTGTGATGCGGGTCAAGGATGTACAAAACTTTGGAAGGGGGGCTCACCATGGGGGCAAGGAAGGAACAATACGAGGATAAATATTAAAAATACGAACAGAAAGAGAATCCTGTAAGCGAGATGGTCAGACAGAAAGAGGGAGGCGATGAAGAGGAACAGGAACCACAGGAGGGGTAAAAGTTAAAGCACGACAGAAGCGAGAGGAAGGATGTTGCAAGTATTCGAACCCCAGTTGGAAACAGACCCAACTATAGGATGGGTTAACCCAAGTATCGCGCTTCCAAAAGGGTCGCCCAAGTTGGAAAAGACGAACGCTGAAAGAATATTGTTGAAAAATCTTGATAACTGATTAAACCAAAATTATTTATTAGTCAGAAGAAAGACAGAAACGCGATCTATATGTTAAACCTCTACCAGACAAATATTTTAAGTAAAACCGAATATATTTGTAGTTGTATAAAAGTGGCAGTTTTCATCGCTCGTCGAGCTCGAAAACCGCAGCATTCATCTCAGAACCATGCCTATTTCACGCAGATTCCTTAATAAACGTAAGAGTTTTATATGTCACAAGAAAGACAGATATATAAGCTTCCTTTTAAATACCTTACCATGGGCATATTTAAATTTAAAGCGAAGATACGTGTACTTTTATAATAGCCGAGCTCCGATCCAGGACAGATCGATCGACGGATCAACTCTCTCTCAGAACAATGCTTATTTCACGTAAATTTGTAAATAATCGTAAATTTTTTATATGCCTCAAGAAAGATAGGAATATAAGGCTCAT